GTGTTTTATACTGATTATTTCTTATTTTGTGTGGTGGCAGTTAAATGCAGCATTGGCTCCAAAATGGGCCAGTAATCGGACCCAGGCTGAGGTCATGGCCACAGAGAGACAGCTGTCTGCCAGCTGGACATCATTGAAGGATGGCGGTTTTTTTATTTTATTAGTTATCCACGGGGAACAGAGGCTTTTGGAGCGTGTGGTTTATTTTCTTGGAAAACCTGTTAGGATAAATAGTTTTTCCTGCGGTTCTTTGAGTCCCGCAGAGAGGGACAAACACGACCGGTCAAGGTCGGCAATATTTCCAGCTGGGAAAACAAAAAGAAAGCAGGAGACATACGACAAAGAAAACAATCACCATCAAATCAGGAGAAAGTCTGTTTTATTTTGATGATAAAAAACCAACATCAGGCTGCTTCAAATGCCAGAACTCTTCATGACACAACATTGCATCAGTCAGCTGCAGCTCAGGTATTTCAGGAAGCAGTTCCCTAATATGGTGGGCTTCCCACGGGCCTTATACTCACACTTCACAGTCTTGTGAAAGCAGCTCACAACTGACTGCTAAAACTAAACACGCCTTGCTTCCGTGCTCTACTTGTCAGATAGTGTTTGATGTGTCGACCCCAGTCAATCATCAACATGTTCTTGATTTTCTCGGAGCAAATAAATAAACAGTGTAGGAACATGATGTGATCAGGAGCTGAACAAATGATTGTGTTTAACTTGTGTGTCCAGGATCAGTTTGTGTTTTTTTTTTTTTTTTTAACTTGAGCTCAGACGCACACAAAGAGAGACACTCAATACTGACAACCTAGTTTTAGTGATACCTTGAAGCCTCGGCTCCTGTTTGCAGTATTTATTATGCATCCTGATACTGTTGTACACCCAACGCACACACCAGTCTTCAGTAATGTTTACTGCCTTAACACAAGCAGCATGATTCGTCTAAATCCTAAAAACCTTAGCTGAACACTTCTTTCTCATCTCCGCCAGTAGCAGTGGAGGAGATATCCTCAAAATTCAGGTCACAACTTAAACCTTTTTAAAATATTTAGCAGAGTTTTGGCACAGCTGCATGTTTAAGAGCGTGTGAGGGGCTTACCGTTGTTCTACACCAACAACTTTTCTGTTTACATATCACACGATGCGTTTGAGGATAGGTGCTGACGTCAGTAGCAACATTTAAATCCCGAGACACTCTGAGGACAGCAGGAGGTAAAAAAAACAAATTTTTTGTTGCTGAAATCTGTTACTTTGACAGAAAATTTGGGTTATTTATTTGCAACGTCATTTTTTGAGTTTTCCTATAAAAGTGCTTTTAGTTTTACATAAATGTGAACACTTGATTTCTTTAAAGGGATCCCACGATTAGTTGTAACATTAGACTTTAT